AGAACGAAAAGGAACTTTGTTTCTGGTGGCCATTATATTACAGCATTTTGGAGGTTCTGAGAGTCCTTACATACATCCCACATAAAACCCCATTCGATGTTAAAGGTCTTTAACTTATGTATTTAATTTCTTCCTGCTGAGAAGCGGGGAAAATTAAGCATTGGACAATTCATCCAAAATGTTATTCACTGGGATTCCACATTTTTAATTCTGTACAGGATTCTGACCATTGAGCTGGCAATAGCAAACTGAGAAAAATGTTGCTACCATCCCTATTTATCTCCTTCCAAAAATTGTGTGCCTACAATGGTTGCAGGATATTTCGCCAGAGACATATGGACATCTGTAAGCCTTTTGTCATTTATTTTTTTTAATCACAAGGCTGGCTTTCTTGCCTGGATTCTGTAAATGCCCAGCTTTGTGAAACTACAGCAGGTGCTGCTCAATAGCATATTGACACAAAAATTAATGTTTATTTTGAAGGATGCCATTGTGCACTACAGCCAATCCCCTATTGTTTCAGCAAACACAGAATTTCTCTCTCCTCCATTTTCCCTGTATGCCTATTTCTGCAGGCATTGGGAAAAGAGAGACATTCAATTTCTGATAACTATCCGACTAAATATGGTGCATGCATTTGAATGATCATATGTTTTATGGGCCATCGTGTGTTCATTCTAATTTCTAAAGCTGAAGTCCAGCATCATCTCTTTGCTCCATAGATGAGAGTGTGAACTATATAGGACTCATATTAAAGAATTTAAAACTGCTCTGAGTACCATGATCTATCAGCAATGTTATTAATAGAAATGGATGTCTCAATAGTAGCTGATTGAAAGTTTCTCTGCCAAACAACACTAAGCAAAATCGTTCCAAAACTAAAGCAGCTCTCTTTCACATGGCTCAAACCTGCCAACTTCAAAGCCACTTCATATCAAGTTCATTGAAAATACAGTACAGAAAACATTGAACATGATGTGATCAAAGAACTAGAAATAGAGGAGGCATATAGCAATAGCCACTAGACGTCTATACCATTTCATAGCATTTTACAGCCCTCTCTAAGCAGTTTATTACTCTCAACATATCTGGGACCTGATTTTACCGACCTCAAAAGGACAGAACGGAAGGCTGAGTCAATCTTGAGCCAGTGAGGATTGAACTGCTGGCAGTCAGCAGAATTAAGATGTGATTCTGCATTCTAAACACTGTGCAGCCCCGGCTCATCAAATGCATGATCATAATCTTCTTCTGTATATGTATGCAAACACATACCAACAAAATGCTTTATGATTGCCATATAATTATTTCCATATAATTGCTGAAAACATGTGAAACCTATCCCAACAAGCCCCATGTCAAGCCAACTGATGAGAAAATCCTCTCAAGATTACAGTTTAGCAATGTTTCATATGCATACATGTATACATGTAAATGCCGCTCTGCTCACCAAGGCCACTGTGACCTAGATGATTGAGAATCTCCATAGATATCTATCCAGTGGTGGGATTCAGCCAGTTTGCACCGATTCAGGAGAACCGGTTGTTAACTTTCTAAGCAGTTCAGAGAAGCGGTTGTTGGAAGAAATCTCATTTTGGTGTTTTTCCCACTTTATAGGGCTAATCCTGTCAGGAAGGCAGAAAGGAATCATTCTGGTGTTGTTTCTAGCCTAATCTCTATTGCCCTGCTTACAGAAACTGCCTCTCCAGTTAACCCTTATTACATTGCAACAGCCAAGGTGAAGTACCCATTGACATGAGTGACCACCCAGTCACATGACCACCAAGCCCCACCTACCCAGCTGGTCATTAGGGCAGAAAACTGGTTGTTAAATTATGTGAATCCCACCACTGCATCTATCCACTTATGAAAAAGAACATTGCATATTGATCAATTGAGTAATACCTAAACCAACATCAGAAGAAATGAATAGGTGCTTTCGTGTTAATTGGCTATGGAAGCGTTCTTTGACACACTACTCTTAGTTGGTAGAACCAATGCTGCACAAACACACAGATACTCTGTCCTTCCTCTCTCCTGTTCCACATCCAGCAACTATATAAAAGCTTAAAGCTTTTGTAAAGCAGTACATTTTATTACTCTCCCTCTCAATTTCCAATTCAATTGACATTCTTATAATTTGTACAATTAAGATGCCTCAGCATGAGATGATAGTTTTAATATTCACTTTACCCAATCTCCTGCACAGGAAAGAAAACTCTATAATGTTGCATTAATCAAAACCCCATTTTTAAAGCAAGGAATTCTTGGGCGCCCACAGAAAGCAATGAACAGGCACACATGCAGCCACTGTACAGAACTTTATCAGCAATTTTAAAGAATCCAATACTGTTATTATTTGGCCGTGCTTCTATTAGCATTTTTTTAAAAATGAAGTGGGTGGAAAAATCACCATAAAGTTTAAATAGAGAGCTACGGTATCCTTGTAACACATTCTGCTGTGCCAGGGAAATGAACCATAAGGTCAGAATATACTACTGCAATGCGCTCTACATGGGGCAGCCCTTGAAGAGNCTCTCTCTCTCTCTCTCTCTCCAAATTACTCTTGGAAATAACTTCCCACTTAAAAGTGGGGGAGGGGGGAAAGGAAGAGGGGGAAAAAAAGAACACACCGCAAAGAGAATGAGCAAAGATTAGTTGCCCTGAAGTGATGGAAAGAGGTCGTATTCCAGTAGTAAAAGAAAGCGAATCACAGACAGGCGACGCTCCGGAGAGTCCCTTATATAACTTACACGACTAGAATAGCCTTCTTCAGCAGCCATACTGGGAATGCTAGCCCGCGACATCTAGAAGGCACCAGGTTGGAAATGGTTGGCCAAACCACACGGAGCACCTCAAGCCCAGACTCCACACCCACTGAACTGGAGACACGGTTCTACCAGTCGCCTAAGAGATGGCTTTGGAAATGGACCCGCTGCTTTCTCGACGAAGAGGCCCTGCCCTGGCCAAAGCCAGCACTTCTGGAGCGAAAAAGTCGCGGGTGGACGCTGAATGATTGTAGAATTCGAAGGTGCCGCTTAGTCTAGGGGTCTCCAAACTCTTTCACTTTAAGACTTGGGGACTTCGACTCCCAGAATTCCCCAGCCAGCTTGTCGAAGTCCCCAAGTCTTAAAAGTAAAGGAGTTTGGAGATCCCTGGCCTAGACAGTCAAACTCTTCCTCGGGCTGAAGAAAGAAAAATCTTGCGCTTTTGCAACAAGTCTAACGGTTGCAAGGCAATTCCTCGCCAACTATCTGGAACCCGGGAAGATCTTTCTCGGGGGCAACGCACAGCCCGATCCTCCGCCTGTTTCCCAGGGTAAGGGGGGGGGGTCGCTGCACAAGCATATGGGGAGATCAAAGGTTAGCCTGGCGAGCGTAGCCTTGGGCTTCTCGCAGCCTAACTTGTGCTTCCTTGGGGGAAAACTCGCAATTGAATAAGGCAAATGGCCGCAGTCCGTTCTTCTTGCCTGTCCCCCTAGCAACTGGCCTTGGAAGGGCGACCGCGGCTGCCTCTGTCTGACTGAACTGGAGGCCTTCATCATGATAGAGGAGCTTTTCTTTCAACTCCTTGTGGTCCTATTTCCTTTGACAGCCAGGGCAGAGGTACAGACACCTCCGAAGACTTTCAAATGAGGTTGATCAAAGCAGCAATTTTGGGGAAGAAACTGTATGGGCAATCCGTACAGATTTATTGGTGAAATGACTTTTGGACTTTGCCTAGCAGTGGGCTGGGCAAAGTCCAAAATCTTTTTCTATTCTGAGACCCATTTTCCCAACCCCCTTTTGATGCTCTCTGGTCTATTCTGTGCTATTCACAATGCCTCCTTGGCATTGGCAGAAGGCAGGAGTAGATCTCTCTTGCAAAAACTCTGGATTGCTTGCTCGCACAGCCTTAGGTTGCACATCCCTGCCCAAGAGATGGACAGGTTTAAGAGCTGTCTTTGGGACAGCATTTAGGGATTACACATACGTAAAGGTAAAGGTTCCCCTCACACATATGTGCTAGTNAAAGCCATCAAAACCTGGCTGTGCCGGCAGGCCTGGGATTGACGAGTTCCCCTCTCCTCTTGACCTGTGTGGCTGTGTGATTCTTGGCTATTTTAACTACTTGTATTGTGTTCTATGTTCCCTTTCCCCCCTTTGAGTTGTTCGCCGCCCTGAGTCCCTCCCGGAAAAGGGCGGCATATAAATAAAACAAATCTAAATCTAAATATGCTGGTCTAAAATTCTTCTCTACAATTAAAAAATAACCTAGAATGACCATTGGGTGCACTGCCCTATGAGGATCACAAAGAAATCATGCCTGAAATACAGTTTGCTGTAGATAATGGATGTGCATCTTTTGTATTCCAGGGCAGGTGATTTATTAAATATGTACATAAATAAATACATAGTTAATTGATGTGGTTAATGATAAAGCAAGAGTTTATCTAGAACGCAAACATTATAACATACAAGATAGCAATATATCAGATTAGACCATTAAACCATACAGACCAAATACAGGTTAGACCATGAATGAAGCCAATCTTGTGGTATCAGGGGATCCTTTCCCTATGCATATGGTTACCTGAAGAGCTGTTTGCTATGCAATCCCAGATGAAAAAAGTTCATTCTTGAGTGATATTATTAAATGGACAAATTAGATAAGATAGTGACCTGGGATTCATCATTAGTTCATCAGGGCATCCTGTCTTCTGCTGTAGTTGCACCCAGCTTGGGAAATCTGGACATAGCAGCCATGCTATATTCTCAGGACAATTAGATCGCATGAATGAAGGCAAATATAGGTGTCCCAAGATAATGTTGCAAGATCCAGTTTGGGTCGGTCACCGGGATGTGAGGTTTAGTCTTTAGTCTTTTTAATTTTTAGTTAGATCACAATGTACAGGAATGGCCTGGGCCTCATTCTATCTGCTAGACATGAAGTGCCATCTGTTATTGTGTTCTAAGAAAGACAAATTCTTCTGTAACTTTCCATATCTATCTCTGCTTAAGATATCGCTTCATGAACACAGATATCCTGGTCAGCAAGTTATTGGAACATAGAACCAGAAGATCCTCTGGAAAAAAGAATGTGAGGCCACTGGTCTGCTTTCAAACTCTTAAATAAGTCTTTCCTAATGTTTCTGTGAACTGGAAATGTCAGTGATTAAAAAAGAGACCTTTTACATCCCCCCAAGCTATGGTCTACTGAGCTGTGAAAATTATATAAAGAGATGCCCTCTAGACATATTTGTCCACAACTTCCATAATTCCTAGTGAAGACAGTAAAAGATATCCACAGGCAAAAGGCAAAATGTGGAGATATTAGCTGGACACAAATTCCCTTGTTGATCCTTTGTCATTTCCTTCCCTGCTCCTTTCTCTACATAAGCTGTAAAGAAACATTTACGTGAGTATTCACATATTTGTATCTAAATTATATAAGAAACCTATTGATTAAACAGTTTGTAGTTGACTTTAAAAAGCCTGCATTAAATATATTTCAATCAGAAACATTTCCGTTTTCGTGTCTGCATTAATAACATTAGTATATATTACACATTTAAGACTGCAAAGAAAAAGTAATATTCATGTATAAAAAGTCTTCAAGTTCTTATGTTTTTTCCCCTTTAAATCTCCTTTCACTTGGTTTGATTGAAATAAACTAATTTATACTGACTGAAATCACACATGAGAACTTTTCACTCATCGGAGCAGACTGATATCTCATTAAATGTTCTCAAAACCAGTTTGTGGGCTTCACCTACTAATTCTCTTTGATACCATCATGCCTTTGCTACTGCTTAAATTAATTGCTAGGGACTGACACAATATTAAACGTAGCTTCTTTACTACTCCTCAATAGATAGAAAAATAGATTTTCTAAGTGTCAGAATCTTCCAGAAAGCCATTTTGCAATCTAGGGGAAAAAATTGTGTGCCACCCACGCTAGTTTCTACAAAGACAAGGGTGGCTCACGATCAAGCAGAATGAATGGGATTACAGGAAAGGCTTGGTGAGCACGTTGCTTTAATGCCAAAAAACAAACAAACCCAAGAACGTTTCAACCAAAAAGAAAAAAGAAGAGGAAAAACCTCTAAGGTCATTGGGGGGAAAAAAGTTCCATCAAAAGCAAACATAGCACTGTTGTCAGGAGAAACAATAATCCAAAATTTATATGAAGACAGTGACTCAATGAGGTCAATTTAGGTTCATAAAGAAAACAAAAACTTTAGTCTTTTATCAAAAAGGACCAGAAAAAAAATGGAAGAGGTCACTTTCCATTGACCACTATCATTGTCGTATTTGTCCATCCAATGCTATGCTTCACCTCACAGATTTCAAGCTTAATATCCTTTTTAGCGGCATAGGACTATAATCAGCCAACCCCTTTTCTAACCTCCAGAGTTTTCTTCCCTTTTTGTCTCTTCATAACTTCAGATTATATTTTTTTCTTATTTTGGAAAATAGTGTACTCATGGACTTTAACTCGTCGGTTTTCTTGGGAGCTCGATGGCCTGCAAATAAGCGATAGATGTCCCCAGATATTCTTCATTTAGCAAATGAAAACACAGCACAGCCCCTGAACGTATGGGCACCTTAAGGAGGGAAAGCAAAAGCTAAAAAGGGAATCAAAAGCTAAAATGGAAACCAGGACTTCAGTAAGACACTGGGACATAAAAGGTGTTCTCATCTTGTAACATACTTTTTAAAAAAAAAATAATAAACCACCCAGAATCACTTAGGTGAGATGGGGAGTGTAGAAATCGATAACTAAAAGTTTAAAAATTTACATCATTTTTTCATTATCCTCTTATGCCAGTGCCAGAATAAAACTTAGGCTTATTCAGACATGCTGAATGTGCTTTGTTAAATTGGGGCTCTTGGGATAAATGTGTTGACTATGAAACTGAGATCAGTCACTTGTGAAATCTATTTATGCCCGCAGGGAAGAGGCATGTGTTTGACAGTCCAGCTTGCCCATGCTTGACTGCGGAAAGGTCTTTTTGCTACAGAGGTAGGCAAATGATCCTTCTGATGTACGGAATGTTACAGGAACGATTAGGGCTATTTTTACCAACTCTGCCAATTTGGGCAGTGAATTTTCTCCCTCCAATGCCCATCCTACACTAGAACTACTTACAGCTGTCTGTTACTCATTAACAGTTCCAGACACAGCCCTTGAGTCAATTGCAACCCAGGATTACTTAACAGATTAACAGAATTGGAAGGGACCTTATAGGTCATCTAGTCCAACTCAAGCAGGAGACCCTACACCATTTCTGACCTTTCGTTCTTGGAAACCCCTCAGTAATAGGATAGATTGATTTTTCCTAAACTTGCAAGTTGTTCGGGTTTGGCTGAACTAGATCGGTCATTAGTTTGTTGAGTCCACAGACAGTGGCAGAAGAGAGGCGGAAAAAGAAACTTGCTCAAGTCCCTCACCTCTTCCCTCTCTATAGTGACCTCTGGTTGGGAGGCTGGTTCTGACTATACCTTGGTACTAGAATCGAGAATTCTGTGTGGTTAATATTTTGAACTACAGTAGATGCTTTTCTTTCTTGTACTCAGGGTTTCTCTTCTTATTATAGAAGTGTGGAGACACCAGTTGCTTTGGCAGCCCAGCCCAGAAAAAGAGGTTAGCCCATGGAATCACATGTATCTCATGTAAAACAATATGAATTCCTTCCACATATATAATTCATTGATGCAAGACCTGATTGTGATTTCTAGATCCGTGATCTAAAAGGCATTCGCTACATTTAGTAGGGCAGCTCTAAATGCAACCAAGTTCAGAAGCACTGCACCTCAGAGTAGTCTATACTCTCTGCGGTAATAAATATACTTCTTTATGCATGTTTATATTCACAAATATTCAATCAATTTTAGAGAGGTAGAATTTAAAATGGATGGTATAGAATTTTCAGCAGAATCTTATGATGTAGCTTTCATTCACTTATGGTAAGGATAGCTCACAAATCCTCAATAATATGTACATACATCCATTGTGGTAGTTTCCCCCCCCCCCCATCTCTCACTTGTTTAATTCAGCTCACATGAAACTCAGTATTTTCTCCTTTTGCACTATCTTAGAGAAAAAACTTCAATTTTGTTTATGGCATTAAACATCTTGGAATAATTATATTAAGGTCTCTAGAAGCATTCATGGAAGAACTTGTAAATCTTATCTAGCTGACTTATATGGATATAAAACTAGGATTTCCAGTATGAGTTGTCTGCTTTATTGGTCCTGATCTGAAATTATGTACCCTGAAAAATGAAAATTCACTGAATCTAAGCATGAACCTGGTGCTTTTGTTCCATTAGAATGAGATAACATTTCCCCATTAAACCATTAAGCATTTTTTAATGAATGTATGAAAGCATTTGTTGGTCCATATTTTCACCACAAGGAATAAAAGACATAGATTCTTGATTGGGATTTGTTACAGATTGACTCTTCAAGGACTTGGTAACTCTTCATTTTCTACTAGATAATCTTTCTTTGCATAATTGGCTCCCCTAATTAACCTCCATATTCCAAGATAGGCATTCTTTAGTGAGTTTCTGTTAAGTTCTTCAGTACTACCCTCTACTGGAACAGTAGCATTTCCTTCTTCTGCAGTGCTGCCCATCTCTTCTGTGCTGTGCTGTTTGCTTTCATCTGCTGACTCCTCCATTATGGGCTCTCCAGATTCTGTCTCCTTAGGCATCTCCTCCATTGAAAAGGGTGGTTGACCTCCCTCGTAGTCTTTCTTCTCTTCTTCTCTAAGTTCCTCTTCCAGATCTTCATAATTGCTCTGTTTCCTTGTCTCAATAAACTTGACCACACAATACGTGATGGATCCTACAGTGTTTACTACCACGCCTGCTATGAACAGCTTTGTGGGTTCCACATCATTGAACGCCACCATACCAACAGTGATCGTTGCAATGCTCTTCACAACACCAACAAAACTAGTGGTTACAGCTGAGTTAATGTAAGTGCAATGAAGGGTTGTAAAATTCATGGCACAGCCCAATAAGACACAGGCAAAAAAGATGAATGTCATGAGGGGATCTTTCCATTCTGGGAACGACCAGATATTAATGGCTTCCATGCTGACAAAGGCGAATAGGATGAGAAAAGGTGTGGCTGAAACGGCAATGGCGTATTGGGCTGTCAGAGGCCCATAGTCACTATCTGCACTCATCTTTTGAATCACAACCAAATATCCTGCATGTACCAACACAGCCAGAGCTCCAGTCACATACCCAATGGGATCGCCAGTCAGGTCACCTGCACCTGCCAATTTTGAAAGAGAGAAAAAATTTGCATACACTTTAAATATATTGCATCATTGTTATATAGGAACTACATCAGTAGAAGATAGGTTTTAATGAGCTATTAGCTACAAGCATTTTAGGATACACGGAATAAACCGCTAAGAAGAGCTATCATCAATTTATTTGGAAACTGCTTGGGAATAAATATGTCTGGCGTATAAATATATGAGTAAAGAGAATCCAAAATAAACAACCTGTCAAAACTAGACTGGTTCAAACTCAAAAATGAATCATCATTTATAGAAACCAGATTTTGAAGCTGAGTCCATTCTTAGACAGATAACTTAATCTTGCAGAGCTAATACCAATTAGAATTTATTTTGAGTGGTAAACTATGTGTGGTTTAAGAATATTAGATTGAGGCACAGCAGTGACTCTTCGGATTAGGGTTATTATTGTGGATAATAATTTTGTATTTTACCTTAATCCAACTTTTTAGGATAATATTCTTAAATCATCATTAGAAGCACTGAATCACACAAATCTAATCTGCACAAATTTCACAAGTATTGCTTAGGATCATCTTTAATTAATTTTACTGTTCCGACAATTTTTAGGAAAATTCAAGTAGAAGTGTCTGCACAATGAGGATTATTTTCTCTCTCTCATTTAATGAGTGTGGCATTATCCAATGGAACAGAATACTCTTCAGTATTCAGGTTAGATGAAAAGGAGAATTTCATCAACTTTCCAAAATTAAACTATAAAATTTACTCCAATAATATGGAAAGATGATTCGCTCTTGTTTTTTAGGAATTAAGTCAAATTTAAGACATACAATTTTTTCTGTTGCTCTCAGTCAATAATAATAATTCAAATCCAGCAAATAATCAAACATCATTGCTTTAATATTAAACATTAAAAACAATCTAACAATTTAATAAGAGGGAGTGATATTTTTAAAAAGCTGCTTAAAAGCAATCAAAACTAACTATAAAATAACTAAGATAGCTGTAGTCATAATGACTATAAAATGCTTTTCGTATCTGAGGCAGCATTTCTGAACACCAGCTGCTAAGAAATAACAAGAGAGGACTATTGGCCACTTGTCCTATTTGTGATGGCCCCAGAAGCAGCTGGTTGGCTACTATGGAAACAGAATTGTGGACCAGATTGGCTCTTTGATCTGATCCAACATGGCTATTATGTTCTTATGACTGTAATTAAGAATTAAAGCATAGGAGTGA